TCTCTCTCTGAATGGAGGAGAGAGATACATTGTATCTCTCCCTGTCCTTTCAGAGAGAAAAATAAATAATTAAATATAATAAAAAATATACCTAGAACAAGGTTTGATCTAGGTCAGTGCCAGGGTTAGTGTTTGGGTCAAGGTCAGGGTCAAGGGTCAGTATTGTTTTTTTTTTGGTCAGGATTTTTTTTTTTTTTAAATTAGTATCAGTGTCAGTTAGTGGCAGGATAAAAAAAAAAAAACAAAATCCGCACTATTGTTTCCATACTCTGGGTACAAAACAATTAACATACACATATGTAGTATCGCTGCGATTGTCAGGAGCAGGAGAAATTATTAGTAGGTTATTGTAGTAGCAAGGAATATACAGCTACATTTCCAAACATTATTTAGATTTTTTTTTTTTACTGTTTTAGGCCAGTTTTCCTTTAATAATAAAAAACAAACAAACAGGAAGTATCCATTACCATTTACCACCAAATGAAAGCCCAATTTGTCCTGAAAAAACAAGATATAATCCACCTGGATGCATAAAGCAGTTGTGATGATATGTGCGATTTTGCTAACACATGTCAAAGTTGCAAAATTGTGCTTATGCATTTAGATTTGTTTTACTCTTAGGCGTGAAGGGGTTAAGGTTTACATCTACTTTTTATCCCTGCCAGTACCACAGGGTAATAAATTCTCTGAGATTTGTTTTCTGGTACTGTACGGGTTAATAAATTCCCGATGTTTGTTTAATCTTCATTTTCCTCTTGGGATCATTTAAATACAAACACTTTGACCTCATAAGGCACAAACCAGTGAATTTAATCAATAATGCAGCACAGTGCCCAGGAACTGAGCCCTGGACGTACAAAGCTCTGAGACAAGCTAATGCACACTGCAGAGGATCAGGCTATCGATGTTATCAATACTGCCTACTATTTGTGCTAAGTACTATCTGCATCTCATCTGAGCACCTGACAGAAGCTCCCTTGAGTGTACTTAAACAAAGAACCTTTCTGTGAAAAGTACCACAACTATAGAGAGAAAGTGATACCAGGCAGATTTGATGTGTCTTTTTTGAGTCAACAACTTTGCAGCCTTTTCAAATCTGAGAAAAAGTATCTGACAAATACTGAAAGTTTTGAGTGATTTGCAAATACCAAAAAAAAAAAAAAAGGAGGACAGGATACCTCTCTAGCCCTTTAACCACTTGCCGCCCAGCCACTGTAGAAATATGGCGGCAGGGCGGCATGGCTGGGCAAAAGCACATTTTAAACGCGCTTTTGCAAAACAGGTAGGGGGCGCGCACGAGGCGCGCCGCCGCCCTACCTGCACCACCCATCCCAGCCGCGGGTATCAGTCTCCAGGTCACGACCGGTCATTACCGGCGTGTGCCGCCGATTAGCGGAAATCACTGACAGAGAGCAGGGCTGCAGTAGCTCTGCTTTCTGTGTCAGTTCCCTGACAACTCCTCACACGCTGATCGGGAGAGAAGAGTTTATCTCTCCCGATCAGCGTGTCCCCGTGCAGTACACACCCCCGCCCCCTAGTAAAACACTCCCCTCACACAGTTAACGCTTTCAGTGAAGTTAACCCCTTCTTCCCCAGTGCCATTAGTACAGTGTCAGTGTTTTTTTTTTTTGCACTGATCACTGTATTGGTGTCACTGAGGATGTCAGTGACCCCAAGTCAGTTCCCCCCCAGTGTCAGAATGTCCGCTGCAGTCCTGCCATAAGTCACTGATCGCCGCCATAAGTTGCTGATCGCCGCCATTATTAGTATAAAAAAAAATTAAAAGTTTGAGTATCTTTCCCGCCATTTGTAAATGCTATAACTTTCACGTAAACCAATTAATTTACACGTATTGGTTTTTTTTTTTTAGCAAAGACATGTCGCAGAATACATTTTGTCCGAAATTTATGATGAAATTTGATTTTTTATTTTTTTTTACTGGACATGTTTTATAGCAAAAAGTCCAAAATATTTGTTTTTTTTTCAAAATTGTCAGATTTTTTTTTTTATAGCGCACAAAATAAAAAACACACAGGCGATCAAATACCACCAAAAGAAAGCTCTATTTGTGTGAAAAAAAGGACATAAATTTAATTTATGTACCATATTGCATGACCACGCAATTGTCCGTTAAACTAGCGCAGCGCTGTATAGCAAAAAAATGGCATAAATTGCAGTATCTATACCATAGTTTGTAGACGCTATAACTTCCACACAAAGCAATCAATATACGCTTATTGGGATTTTAGTTACCAAAAACGTAGCAGAATACATTTTGGCCTAAATTTATGACAAAATTTTAGTTTTGTTGGATATTTTTTATGACAGAAAGGAGAAAATATTGTTTTTTATTTAAAAAAAAAATTCTCAATTTTTTTGGTTATAGTGCCAAAAATAAAAAGCGCACAGGTGATCAAATACCACCAAAAGAAAGCTCTATTTGTGTAAAAAAAAAAGGACATCAATTTCATTTATGTACCATATTCCATGACTGCACAATTGTCCGTTAACCTAGTGCAGCGCTGTATAGCAAAAAAATGGTGTAAATTGCAGTATCTATACCATAATTTGTAGACACTATAACTTCCACACAAAGCAATCAATATACACTTATTGGGATTTTATTTACCAAAAACGTAGCAGAATACATTTTGGCCTAAATTTATAACCAACTTTGAGTTTACTATATATTTTTTATAGCAGAAAGTAAAAAATATTGTTTTTCTTCAAAATTTTTGGTCTTTTTTTTGTTTATAGCGTGAAAAATAAAAAGCGCACAGATGATCAAATACCACCAAAAGAAAGCTCTATTTGTGTGAAAAAAGGACGTAAATTTCGTTTGGGTGCAGCATTGCATGACCGCGCAGTTATCAGTTGAAATTAGTGCAGCGCCGAGTAGCAAAAAGAGGCCTGGTCATTAAGGGGGGTAAATCTTCAGGAGGGCAAGTGGTTAAGAACTACAAGTGACAGCATGTTTAAACTATGGTCATATCCATTATCTCCCTTGCCAGTGCACTTCTTCCCTTCTTCTATGTTCAGTAGTCTTCAGCCACCTTGATTGACTGAGCATGGATGACGCCACTCCCACACATGTGCATGGGAGTTCATTCATCCCAGAACCCCACACTAAAGCTGGCTATACTTGAATTGAATTTCATCAGTTGCCTGCTGAATTAGCCAAAATTTGATTTTTTTAGGTGGTTCTGCCAGCATCACATGGATGGACAAACCTCAGTCTGAAGGTCAAGGAAACCAGATAGAACTGTCAGCTGAATAGTCAGCAGCCCAAAGAGCTTCAGTCACTCACTGTTCAGGTATTCTGAGAGCTTCGGGTGCCAGCTCTCAGAATACAATAGTCAGATGGAAGGTTCATCCATCCACACTATTTAGCTAGATTGCTTTTTTTCAGTTTGCAAGCTGAAGGAATAAAATCTATGCATGTATGGCCAGCTGCATGCGCACACATGGCTCTCAGTGTACAAAAAATATCTAGCAATCAGGGAGAAAGATTTTATGGCAGAAGAGACATATGGAGTCTTTTCTACCATAAATATCTGTCTGATAACAGTTTTTTAGTTTATACTTTAGCCCTGGTTCACATCAGTGTGGCTTGAAAGTTGCGCTACTTTTCGCAACTTCAAAGCCGACTATGCAGTGTGACTTCATTGTGGCTTGCTGACAGTCTGTGTGACTTCATTTAACAGCTGTCAATGCAAGTCCCAATGAAGTCACACAAAAATAGTGCAGGAAACTTTTTCAAAGTCGCTGCGACTTGAGTCGCAACAATTTGAACAGTTCCATTGCTGCTAATGGTTTGCAACTTATCATGCGACTTTGAACTCTCATGACTCTCAAGTCACATGACAATTTGCACTGGTGTGAATCAGGAATAAAAGTGATACTAAAAGCAATTTTTAAAAAATAATAAATATGTTATACTCACCTGCTCTGTGCAATGGTTTTGCACAGAGCAGCCCCAAACCACCTCTTCTGGGGTCTCCCACTGTAAGCCACTTGCTATGGGGTCACACAGTGTGTGCTTGTTCCCAAGCTGTGCGTGTCTATGGAGCCACACTACATAGACACCCACACCTCAGCATGGCCCCGCCCCCTACTTCCTCCTCACAGTATTTGATTGACAGCAGCAGGAGCAATGGCTCCTGCTGCTGCCAAGGTCCCTGAGTGAAGAGGAAGAGAGGGGAGAGAAGAGATGCAACTGTGCACATCACTGGATTGATTGAGGAGTCAGGTAAGTAAATGGTGGGGGAGGACAGAAAGCTTTAAAAAAATTTTTTACCCCAATGCAGGGAATGCATTAGCATAAAAATGTATATGGCCAAAAGTCTGTAAACCCCTGACCATCACACCTATATGAGTAGTTGGACACCTCCATTCCAAAACCATGAATATTAATATAGAGTGCCCCCTTTTGCAGATTTAACAGCGTCTACTCTTTTGGGCAAACTCTCCACAAGATTTTGGAGATTGTCTATGGGAATCTGTGCCCATTTGCGAGGTCAGGTACTGATGTTGGATTAGAAGTTCTAGCTTACAATTGACATTCAAATTCATCCCAAAGGTGTTCAGCAGGGATTGAGGTCAGGACTTTGTGCAGACTGCTCAAGTTTCTCCACATCTAGCTCATCAATGCTCATCTACTTTTTCGAGCTTCATATCACACCGCTCAGATGTGAACAGACCCATTGAAAATGGGATTATTCATTTTGACCACTGTCACCCTTCGGGAATCTCACAACAAACTGCTTCGGTGTGAAGGGTGGCTAAAACAAAAACTGGACATATACCAGTAGAATTTAATTCATATTGTTTATTTGTATGGAAATTTAGAACAATAATTTTGTGAGAGCATTTGATAGACTTGACACATTTCCTACAAAAACCCTGAAAAATGTACACTATATTGCCAAAAATATTGGGACATCCCTCCAAATCATTGGATTCAGGTGTTCCAATCACCTCCATGGCCACAGGTGTATAAAATCAAGCACCTAGACATGCAGACTGCTTCTACAAACATTTGTGAAAGAATGGTCACTCTCAGGAGCTCAGTGAATACAAGCGTGGTACTGTGATAGGTTGCCACCTGTGTAATAAGTCATCCGTGATATTTCCTTGCTACTAAATATTCCACGGTCAACTGTTAGTGGTATTATAACAAAGTGGAAGCAACTGGGAACAGCAGCAACTCAGCCATGAAGTGGTAGGCCACGTAAAATGACAGAGCGGGGTCAGGGCATGCTGAAGCGCACAGTGGGCAGAAGTCGCCAAATGTCTGCAGAGTCAATAGCTAGAGACTTCCAAACTTCATGTGGCCTTCAGATTAGCACAACAACAGTGCATAGAGAGGTTCATGGAATGGATTTCCATAGCCAAGCAGCTGCATCCAAGCCTTACATCACCAAGTGCAATGCAAAGCATCAGATGCAGTAGTGTAAAGAATGCCGCCACTGGACTCCAGAGCAGTGGAGACGTGTTCTCTGGAGTGAAAAATTGCGCTTCTCTGTCAGGCACTCCGATGGATGTGTCTGGGTTTGGTGGTTACCAGGAGAAAGGTACTTGCCTGACTGCATTGTGCCAAGTGTACATTTTGGTGGAGGGGGATTATGGTGTGGGTTATGTTTCAGGGGATGGGTTTGGCCCCTTAGTTCCATTGAAGGGAACTCTTAGGGCATCAGCATACCAAGACATTTTGGACAATTTCATGCTCCCAACTTTGAGGGACATTTTGGGGATTGCCCCTTCCTGTTCCAACATGACTGTGCACCAGTGCACAAAGCAAGGTCCATAAAGACATGGATCAGCGAGTTTGGGGTGGAGGAACTTGACTGGCCTGCACAGAATCCTGACCTCAACCCGACAGTACACCTTTGAGATGAATTAGAGTGGAGACTGCGAGCTAGGCCTGCTTGTCCGACATTAGTGCTTGACCTCACAAACGCACTTCTGGAAGAATGGTCAAACATTCCCATAGACACACTCCTAAACCTTGTGGACAGCCTTCCCAGAAGAGCTGAAGCTGTTATAGCTGCAAAGGGCGGGCCAACTCAATATTGAACCCTACGGACTAAGACTGGGATGTCATTAAAGTTCATGTGCATGTAAAGGCAGTCGTCCCAATACTCTTGGAAAAATTATGTATTTTGATTTCCAAATCAACGTTTTGAATTCTATGTTTGATTTTGGGATGCACAAATGCATTACAATAAGTACAATTTTTTGTGAATGAGGACTATATTCACATTTTTTACTAGGAATAAATTGTTAGAAAATCACTAAAGAACAGTCCGTTAATTAGTATGGAGTTGCTGAGTTACCAGCCATTTTTTTTTCCTAGGATTGAGTTTTTTCAGCTTTTTATCCTGCAATATCATCACCTCCTATTCTTTATAAATGTGTAGCTTTGAATCGATAGTGGCATATGACTGTTACAGTTAGCAACCTGCACCTTCTACAAAACTCTTGTGTGACATGGTACTGACTATTCTGAAGAAAATGTATCTTTAAACTGTAAATTAGTTACATTAAAGTCCTATATAAACCTAATAATTTAAATCCCATATATGCTTTAACATGGTAATATAATTTCAAAAGTAATTTTCAGTATTATCAGCAATTTTCATTAAAAAGCTGTGGTTTTCAATAATCTCTAAAATAATAGTGCAGCGCTAACAATGCATGTCACAATTTCATAAACACACATAAATTGAGCATATATGTGAATAAAGTGCAAAAAGTGCAATATCAATATAAATAATTAAAAATGATGTAAAAAGCAATAAAAGGTGTTCATAGACTTATTAGTGAATATTAAAACGTCTTTTGTGCAAAGATATCGGCTGAAGTAGTGCCTATGGTTGGCACGTGAAGTTATCTGTGAAGAACAATGGTGAAAGAACTTGTGAAAGGAAATCCACCCTTGAGACGGATGTACAATCACCAGACCATAAATAATAATGCGCATGGGTTATACTACACTACATCGCACATCTGGGGGTGCAGCGTTATGCTAGCAGCTACAGGGTCATCCATCCGCAGGGGGGGTGCCTGGTGGTCCTGGGGAGGAATCAGCTCAGCCACAGGAGCCAGAAAGGTGCTTATAGTGTAGTATTTTTTATTATAGTAATGATAGAAAGTAACATAAAAGTATCCACGTGGAGTAACAAAAATCAATAAAATAGAGTACCAAGATGGCCGCTGCTCCTCTGCAGCGGTGGCTAGACGTCAGCAATAGGGCTCCACCCAATGCGTTTCGTTTAATAACACGTCCTCAGGGGCACACTCATTGCTGACATCTCATTCACATCCCCTTATATAGCCCGCAAGGCGCCAAAATACCATGAAGTGACTGCAGCCATTTTGCCGGTGACAAGCGGTCACGTGACAACCATGGTCATCTTTCCGGAGTCCGGGCCGGGTTGGATAGCAGCCATTTTATTGGAGGTGTTGGTGTACTGTTATGAGAGTACACATGAGAAACGGGACAAAGCTGTTCTCATTCATACGGAGCAGGTTATATGCAATCCAAAGACAAACAAACTAAACCAGCGCTCAAATCCTCATGCAGACCAAAGACAATTCTGTATGCTGAACGAAGAGGTGCTGCCCTTCAAAGATCGGGGAATCTGGACACTGGTGAACAAAAGCAGACAAGGGAGCACTCTCATCGTGCATTACCGTGGTACACCACGTATTTATTGTGTAGACAAATAGATATATACTCACAAACCAAAGGAAATAAAAAGCAAATGATGTAGTCCGCAAAGAAAGTCAATAATGCTGTGCCTTTGATAGGGATAAGTTGACGCGTTTCGGGAGACAAACCCCCTTTTTTGAGCTCTGAGGAAGGGGGTTCGTCTCCCGAAATGCGGGAGCAGGTTATATATTCAAAGAACGGGGGAAAACAGAAGCATAGAATCAAATGGCATATAGAGACTAATAAAAGTGTGCTAGTAAAACTTGGATATTTTTCTTAAAAAACGGGGTTTTAAAAGTGTATTGTATAGATAATAACGATGTCATATTTGACCTAATAATGACCCCTAATCTTAGACGGAGATATAAATATGTTGGCATATGATCGATTATTACAATAATAGGACCATATAATATGCTTTGTACTTATAAAACTTCATGATATATATATAAAAATATAAAAATAGACCAGATAAACAAAATAAATATGTGGAGTCCACATAAAAACATATAAAATGGGAAAAAAAAAAACGAAGTTTGCATAAAATAGATGTGTATGACCGTATGACCGTATGAATAAAATTCCTGATATAAAATGTGTCAAAATGTTGTAAAGATATAAAAAGTGCATATAAAAATGCATATATAAAAAAATATATATAATAAGATATGTCTGATCCCAAATTATCATTAATAGCTTAATGAGATTAATATAAAAATATTAAAAATGATAACAATAGTAATAATGGTTTGGATTCATGCCTTGCAAGATATATACGGAGACAATTCAGTCTACATAAATTACATATGTATAAAAGGAAATGAACCCAAAATAAAATACATATAATACAATATGTCCACATTGTGATCATTACTATAATAAAATACTACACAATAAGCACCTTTCTGGCTCCTGTGGATAAGCTGATTCCTCCCCAGGACCACCAGGCACCCACCCTGACGGATGGATGGATGACCCTGTAGCTGCCAGCAACCTGCATACGTTCAATTCACATGCGTTTATGAAATTGTGACATGCACTGTTAGTGCTGCACTATTATTTTAGAGATTGCAATTCTGGGACTGTTACCTATACCCTGAGTGCTAGCTGCTATACTTTTACTCATATTGATATATATATATTAATTTATTTATTAATATTGTATAATTGCATTTAGCACTCGCTCTATTATCTTTTTGAATGTTTTCAATAACATGATGATGCTCCCATAAAAGTCCTTGTTCAGGCACTTCCTGTTATAAGGTGACAATGATGGTCCCTGTTTCTTAATTGTGTTCCAGTATTGTCACCCTACCACCTGAACTTGAGACTACATGTGGCTGTTTCAATGCAAATAATGCAGGCATGGTCCACTGTTGTCATCATCAGGAAACCCACCCTTAGAAATGCCATGCACCAATTGCTGCAGTTCAGGTATACAAGTGGCTGCAAATAGACCGTAGGAGAGCAGCAGTGCTGAGATATAACTATGGGATAAAGAAAGTAAAAAATACCCAAACAATTGTTTATGATACACAGTGCGCAAAGCAAACTATATGTCATTTGGTTAGGACTTGTTCCTACTTTAATTTCCTTAAAGCTGCACTCCAGATCGAAAACTTTAATTAAAATATATTCCTAAATATCTACAAAGTATATGAACCTATTTTGTGTGTACAAAATGCCTTTACAAACCTAGATATTACCTAGTATAAGTAGTGGTGACCTCATCACTCTGCTGTGCATAGCCTGTACAGACAGCAGAGCTGTGGGAAGAACCCAGGTATAACAAAAACTTTTAAAAGCTATTTTAGCAGACCATATGGGAACAAATAAGAGACATTCTTTGTTAGGGTTTATATACACTTTAAATAACTGCTGGAAACCTGTCCAAAGATTTGTAGATTGGAAGAGATTGTGTACATGGCTGTCAGGGTTAGCAGTATGAGCACATGTGTGTTTCAATGCGTTCAGGAAAAAATGGATTATGTTTGCGATGCCTATGTAATGTGTTGACAAGAATTTATGGTGTACATTTGATGCATGTTAGTTTGATTAATTTAGCTGGCAGATGCTACTCATAAATAAAATTTAAGTACTAAGGCTTGTGTAAGCATCTGCATGAATACTTGTTTAAGTTCATTCAGAAAAATATGATCGCCAATTGATCCATCACAAATAAATTCCTGGCATGTCACTATATAGAGCAACAGTATAATTTTCCAGAAACGCTGTTGTGATGTTTCATTGTGACTTATTCCCCTAATTGGTGTTCTTAACGTGAACCTGTCAGTAACTTTTCAAGTCTGTATAAATATATTCCTGCCATGATACAATACTAAACAGTATAATTTTTTACATAAGTTCCACTGTTTATCATTCAAGCCTTCCTTGTCCAGTGCCATTGCCTAGGCTGAGATGATGTCATTAAAGTCCGATGCAGGCAGGAGGAAGCATTTACTCACTCTCCTGTTCCCCACTGATTGGACTACAACATTGTAAGTTTGTGGCAAGTTACTAAAGTGAGAGTCTGCAGTAGGTGATTATCTGTTCTGTACAGACATCTGGATTTACAGTGCCTTGAAAAAGTATTTATACCCCTTGAAATTTTCCACATTTTGTCATGTTACAGACAAAAACGTAAATGTGTTTTATTGGGATTTTATGTGATAGACCAACACAAAGTGGCACATAATTGTGAAGAGGAAGGAAAATGATAAATGGTTTTCAAATTCTTTTACAAATAAATATCTGAAAAGTGTGGTGTGCATTTGTATTTATCGCCTTTACTCTGATACCCCTAACTAAAATCTAGTGGAACAATTGCCATCAGAAGTCACCTAATTAGTAAATAAAGTCCATCTGTGTGCAATGTAATCTCAGTATAGATACAGCT